TATATATATATATATATATATATATATATACGAAATCAAAATCTTAGTTTCAAGTATACAAAAGATAATATCTGTACGTTATAAAGATCATCATGGATTCCCTAGTGGATTGTCAGTATCTGTTAAATGTACTTAAACTAAAATAAATATCCCCCTCCCCCCAAAGTTTCATTATAATCAAGTATTCCTTCTTTCTTTACTCAATCCTGAACCTCAAAAAACCTCGAATATACTATTACGACCATTTGACCTTGATTCCAATGATGCGATTAAGGCTCAATACATCGATTTCAATACTAAAGGAACACTTGTTCAGGTCTTTTGGACTTTTGCGAATCTTGATTCCAATACAAGAGTTACCATGTCCAAGCATACTCTTTACATCAATTGCACAATCCTTTAGCCCGATGAAACTCATTTCCTATTAATTTTTGTTGTGATTCTTAGTTTTTGGGTGCGCAATCCCATAAATATAGGAATTGTTATTTTAGTTAGGTTGAAACTCAATCCCATAAAAGTAGGCATTTGGATTCCAATTGGGTTCAAACTCAATTTCAAAATGGCCTGAATTTCAATTCCGGTTGGGTTAAAAGTTGCTTCCAAAATAGTATGAATCTTGATTTCTATTGGATTGACACTTGATTTCGAAGAAGTAGGAATCTCAATTCTATTTGGGTTGAAAGACGATTCCGATGAAGTAGGAATCTCGAATCTTGCAATACGACTTGGACGGAAAGCAGCTCCAACAATAGGAATCTTCCAACTGCCTACGATTCCATGATTATGATTCGTAAATTGATTCGGAATCTTAGACATTTCGAACAACTACGATGCATACAAAGTGGCGCTTCAGGCAGGTTATAATCTTTCTCTAATATCTAACATTGCATATTCTCTCCAAAAAAAATATCTAACATAGCATATCTATATGATTATAATGGTGAGACCGACAGAGAAGGAGATTGATTGGCAAGACTAGTTGCTAGAATTCAAGGCCGAGGTGATTGATTTTGTACGTGATACCAGAATTATCACCAC